TCGTCGTGATGAGTGGTGTGTACTTGGACGATACGTTGTGTTTGGATGTCACCCAGGGGGCCATTGGGAGCGCGTCCCAATCGGATAACCGCGCTGGAGCTTGGAGCTTGGTGCTGCTGCTGCGGCGCCTGCGACTAAACTGACCAGGGGTTTAGTTGGGGTGATGTCAATACAAAGTCAATGTCTGATTGGCTAGTACCTGCCTCGCATCTCAGGGTCTTCCGCTATGAGCTTAAGCGAGACTTTCTAATGGATAACTTCATACACCAGTACCGGTACTGTGTACAAGTGATCATAAGGCCTTATTAAGAAGACACGGGTAGTAGACGACAGCAATACTGCCTCAAACACAAAGCAAACGGGCTTCAAAGAAATACACAGCGACATTGTCTTATTCCCTTCAGCGGAATGCCCATGAAATGCATCATTCGATGAAGTAGTCAGGGCGTAGCAGATCGGCTCTCAACACAACGCAGGGAGATATCGCTTGACCTATTTGGTCGTGCACTTGCACTCACTTGAAGCACGCGCTGTCCAATAATCGACTCAATACGTTTACTCAGTATTTTGGTTTTCCTATCTACGCCTACGCTATGTCAAGAAAAATCAATAGTGTGTCTCAATCCGAAAAGAAGGAAATCCGTCACCGCATCCCGCTGAAAATCATCACACTATTAAGTCTGCTTTGGTAGCCATCTCAACCTCGCCCGAATCCCTCCTGATAGCTACCTCCTCGAATCCACTCCACCAACTCAAAAGAGATGCGCCGCTCCGTTTTCTCGTCCAACGACTTATTATGCGCAACTCTCACCACCATCACACCGTGGCCTCGAAACTCAACTGCACCTGCGTGAGTGATTTCCTCCTCGGTCACTGACTTGACGTAGATGACAAGGTCCGGTCCAATAATTCCCCTCCACAAAGTCGATACCCATTGCCAATGGTCGATCGGAGCATAGCAATCATAGATGGGCAATGTGCAAGCGTACTTGTCTGATAGAGTCAAGCTGAATCCCGCGGGGAGCAGAGCAACTGGTGTTTTGCTGGGTACCGATATCGAACTATGTCGAGACCCGAGACCCTCCCCCTCCGATGCCCGCCTCGTGAGCGGAGGCGGATCCGATGCCAAAGCCGGCTTGGTGGAGACGTGTTTGATGATCTCTCGCGACTTCACATGCCACTTCAGGATGCTCTCCATATAGTTAGAGAACAGCTCTGAGGCGTGTAAGTTGGGCTGCGAATGGCTGCTCTTCCTGCTGCTGCCGCCTGCAGAAGCCGTGTCGTTCATCCTTGCGTCATCTTCGGCCGACAGGACAGACAACGACGTACTCGGTCCCTCGCTCCACGTCTTCAGATCGATCTCGCTCAAGCCGAGGAGAGACCGATGCACTGCCGTTCCCACCTGCTCTAGCTGTCGAGGATCAGCCCCTTCAACGGCAACGACTGCGCCACGAATCTCGATTTCAGGACTGGTCGGTCCCGGCGAAGCCAAAGTCGGGCTGATCTTTTGCAGGACCTTCAGCTTGCTCCAGAAAGGAATCGTCATGATCATGGCCTCGAGGCTTTGAGCATATCTATCTCTCGGGTTTGCGATGCCCATGCCAGTCATTGGGTGTGCACTCGGGCGGTCGCTTATATCGTTGTCTCTGTTGAGTGGCGGAGAAGACTGGGTCTGGAGGGGTGGCAGCCGCAGACTCTCATCATAGCCCGGTCCGCGGCTTGGCCCCGCGTTCGCCGGATGGGGCGGTCGTGGAGGAGGGGGCGCCATGTTATTATACCCGGGCCTCGCGAGTGATGATGGACCGGGCAAAGGCCCGTAGCCGGCGACCGGCGGCGTAGGAGGCATACTCACCGATGACCTTGGCTTCCTCGAAAGAGGATGGCCTGTGTATGGTCCGGATGAAGGAACTGCCTGGTAATATCCCGTAGGGGGGTTGATTCGGCGTCGTTTGAGCTCGGGGGATGGCGACATTGGTTCGTATTCTTCCTCCACGTCCCGCAAGTTGTTGTGTTGGTGTTGGTAGGGCTGTTTCTCTCCAGGTAAAGCACGCCGAAGGGGATCGCTGTCCCCGCTGCGAGCCTCGCTCGGGTGATGCGGCTGCATTTTTGGTTTTGTGGCTGTCGGAGTGCCTGCTGGTGTTGACGGCGTTCTCGGCGTCGCAATGAATCTGCCACCACAGTTGGGGCACCGTCCGGGATTAGTCGAGGCTGACGATCCTATTTGACTCCTAGATCTACCCCGACGAGGCCGATAGCGATAATCTGGGTATTCTTCCGCGTGCCGTCTCTTCTCCTCTTCTCCAAGTTGCCTCCAAATTTCCTTCTCTCGCGGGTCCTGTGATTTCCACCGCTGTCCTATGATCTTGGATATATCTGGGTTGGAAAGGCCTGGAAACTCGCTGGAGACGGTAGCCTGGTGGTGTTGTCTATACAGTATGAAGGCTGTCAAAAAACAACGTCAGTCAACGGGTATTGCACAAGTGTCCAGCAGTCTGTTTGTGTTGTCCAACAAAGAAGAGTCCCCCGAGGCCGGTCTCAGACCAGGTCTGTGACGAAGATGTGTCGACCGACGATGTGGGATGAAGAGCGAAAAATGTGCGACTCACGGTTGCGAGGCCTTGGGATCTTGAGTCCGGGCGTGCAGAGACAGATGGTGTCCTTGCCACTCTGGCTACTCATCGGTCTGGTCTCCAATCTGAGGTCCCTCACTTTAGAGGTGTTGGCTTCCTCGATATCAATGGACGCAAGGCGCTTTCTGCTCGCGCGACTGCCAGCAGAGCCTACAGAATCTGGTCCCTCGTCCGTCTCCTGGCTTGCTCTTCGTTCCATGGCCGGATGGGCAGAGATGCCACCAGAGGAAGAGGTTGACCGCCGTGGCCGAGGCGTAGAGACCACATCTGTCATCTTTTGGGCTGTAAGGGTTTGCAGGAGGTGTGCAAACAGATGCGAGTTGAGACTGGGGACAAGTGGGCGAGGCGTTCGAAGCTATGAGACGTTTGGACTTACACCATGCTTCGGAAAGGGGGGCGTTTGAAGAAGCAGAAGAGACAGGGGTGTGTATACGTTGTCGATGGTGAGAGACACGACGGGATGCTAGGGTCGAGTTAGGGTTCGAAGAGTGTTGGCGAATCCGTGTAGTTGTGGACTTGGGTGAGCAGGAAAGGCAGCAATGATTTGACAGACGTGGGAGAGACAAGCGAAGCAGTATATCGGTAAGTTGGAACAAGACGATACGGGGCCGAGATCACTTTTGTTCGATGGTCGATTGTCCGTTCCGACCTTTTTCCCCTTCTCCTTTGTGATATCGAGACGACGACTTCTCATTCAGCAGAAACCGAGCAGACAATGACTGTCTAACTCAATGACTTTATGTTCAAAGATGGAGGTGGCCATTATGGGGAAGAAAGAACATCAGGGTAGGTAGGGCGGTTGGTACGATGTCGTCGAGACGACAGCGACGAACAGCGACCAGCCTCAACGACGACGGTTGACCGACGGCGAGGAGCAGGAAAGGAGATGGATCTGAGTGGTGAGCAAAGGGAGAGGCGGGAACGACGGACGAACTGAAGTCAGGAAACGGAAAAGAGGTAAGAAGGGTAAGCTCGCGAGCGAGAGAGAGAGAGAGAGAGAGAGAAATGTTGATCCTTTGGGGGGTGGGAAATGTGTCTCGGGAATGTACCGGAGACCCAAGGTTGTTGCAGATGAGGGAAATGGGATTCTTTGTGAAGAAGCGTTTGCCCTGTGGTGGCCGGTGCCCGCGTCGTCTATGTCTGTCTCTCTCTTCTTTAGGACTCGCCCAGGCGTTCCGTTCGCATAGAGCGTTGGAGACGGAGAGACAGAGTATGGGCCAAGAAATAGGCAAATGCCTTTCTTGCCCTCAGACCTTGAGAACAAGAAACAGGCAAGTTTCGGGTCCCCAAGTCCGAAGATGGAGCCGTAGAAGGCGGGAAAGGATGCGGCGGTAGCAAGAGCGACCTAGACGAGGACGCCAAAAGATGAATAATGACTCAAGGTATGAACAACAACGAGACACGGAGACGCGACTATGAAGAATATCCCTCCACATTCAACTTCAAGTCTTGTTTGGTGAGGATAGGTAGAGGTTTACCCTGGTTGAATGAAAGACGAGGGAAGATATGTGCTGCTCAAAGCAGTCTGGATTTCTCATCCCCCCCATGTTATTTTAGGCATTTCCTTCCTTTCATGTCATCAGCAATGCAGTCAAGCCCAGACCATCTACAATGCCCATCCCGCATGTGTTGCTGCTGCTACTAATGCAGCAGCCGCTGTCTCTGCCGCCGCGACTGGTCTCTTCCTCCTTGCCCCCCTGCTTTGCCAACCAGTCCCTCTCTTCAAAGGAAGCCGCAGACCGACTACAGACTCATGGGCTGGGGGTGGACGTCAGAAACAATGACCCTTGGATGGGTGTGGCCAGGATCAGAATGAGGACTGTGTACCGGGGGCAGCAGATTAAAGGCGGCGGCAAAGGAATGAATGCACAGAGAGGACGAGAGCGCTGTGTTGCCCGGTTGGAATGTTCAATCATAAGCCCGCCCCGGTAAAGGAACAAAGACAATGTAAAGAAGTCTGCCCCCCCTCCCTCTCCTCACTCAACCCCCGGGCCAAATTAGGCTAGGTTGGTTGGACACATCTCCCACGTGATGAAAAGAAGGGAAAGGGTGGATGAGCTGGGCCCATGAGGAAATTCCTCTGCTTCATTCTTCTGTCTGCTGAATACTAGAAATTTTAAAATTTGATCGGCAGGACACAATGCGTTTGGCGTTGGTGATGTCTCTGATGACAGACGCAAAAGTACGGACGGATGGGAGGGGGAACCGGGGTTCAGAACGGGAACTCTGGGAGAGCAGCCAGGAAAAAAGACAAGACGCGGTGAAGGACATTTTCCATCTAGTTATTGTCAGGAAAGAATAGCACTGGCATTGGCACTGGCATTGGCGGTGCGTGGGTTGTCTCTCGTTAAACTTGCGTTTTTATGGTTCGCGGCCTGTAATGTCTTAAAACTTTCGGGATGGGGGGTTCTATTTTTTCCTCATCTGGAAAGCTTGACAGTCGTTTTGTTTTGCAAACAGCGCGCTCTCTTCTTCATAGTCCAAACCTCGGGATGCCCAGTCAGGCCGAGTGGGATAACGTGAAAAGGATTCAATGCCTTTGCTCGCAGTCCCAAGGCGTGCGCCATGTCGTCTAACCACACTCGTACTCCGATTCAAACAGATACAGTCGAGTCCCCCAGACCGCTTGTCGACAGATGACTGGTCCTCTTTCCCAGATGAATATCTCATGTCAAAGAACAACTCCATGGATTACCTGTTGGTCTCGATAATTGTAACAAGTTCTTTTTTACAACGCCGCCGCCACCCTTCATTCGAGGAAGAAGCCGACATGGGCTCTATGACTTCTCCTCGCGTATCGTCCAACCATCACTTCTTGCACTCGTCTCACGAAATGTATCCTTTGCCGCTTTCGCTGCTCAAGAGACTGGCGCTGCGCCGCGAATCCAAAAAGAGGTCTTCGCACTCGGCCACGTCCTGGACGTCGATTTGGCTGCGGCCGTTTGCCTTGGAAAGAATGCTTTCATTGGGGTTAGCTCACTTGTCTCACACTAGCCGGTCGATCCATGATCCACAACAGAGAGGGGATGGGGGACTGGCTTTAGGGATGAAGCAAAGGCGGTGGGAAATAGGGCAATGTTGTCATGGTTTGGTTCACCGTAGACTCACCTGGCGGGTGTCAACAGCTGCAGGCAGTACCGCAAGCTGATACGGACGCCGTGCTCCGCGATCTTGTCCAGGGCAGCGTCGGTAATAGGCACACCCTCGGTGGTGGCCCTGATGCGAACAATACGCTTGATCTCATCGGCCTGGTACGGCGTGGTTGGAATGATGAGCATGCGGGTCAAGAAGTCTGCCGGAATGCCGTGCGCCGCGACAATATCATCCGTGCCGCGAAGCGTGGCCATTCCTCTGTTTGATGCCAGAATGACAATCGGGGCAATGGGGGACTCCAGAGCCCGGTTCAGGTACGTGAAACACTCGACATCGAGCATGTGTGCCTGTCGTGAATGATTAACCCACGATTCCCCGTCAACTCCGCCAGACATTCAAAGACTTCTTACCTCGTCGATGAAGAGCACACCCGGCACGAGCTCCGCAACACCCTGATCAATGTACTTGCTCACCACCTTGTTGATCTCTCCGCGCAGCTTGTCCGTGATCTCAGTCATCTTTGGCTTCATCAGCTGGCCCATCATGCTCATGATGTCTTGACCACCCTGGGGCCGCGCGTTGGCAACATCGAGGTCGTGTAGCGTCACATCCTGCACAATTTCCTTCTTCTTGTGCACCTCGCCCTTTGGAATGGGGACGTATTCTTCGGCCTCGAGGTCGAACTCGGTCGCATAGGCATCTGATCTTCCCACGCGCTTGCAAGCGCCCGTGTTCGCCTCGATGTAGACGACATCTCCCACTGAAACTCTCTCCTTCTGGATGGCCTCGTATATGCTGGGATCCAGACGCAGTTTCTTCTGTCCTTTTGCGCTCTTCAGGCCGATCAGAAGTGTGCTGATGGTTTTGCCGTATCCGCCCAGAGGGTTCTCGGCTTCTTCGGGCGTAAGCTCCGTAACCTCGCCTTCGTACACTTCCTTCGTTTCCCGAACCTTCAAGCCGATGGCCCGGCGGAAGTTCTCCATCAACATCTCTGTCTTCTTCACCTCTGTCGAGTAAATTTCGCTGCCGACAATCGGGCAGAAGGGGATCTTGGTTCCGAGTTCTTGACTGACGGCGAGAGCGAGAGCCGTCTTTCCTGTACCGGGTCCACCAGCCAGCAGAACGCCGCGGCCAGCCATCTTGTGCGCTTTGATAAGGTCAACTACAACACCAGCTGCCTGTCGCGAAGTTAGTGATTGCCTTGGTATGAGGTTGTGGCCATCAATCATCAGCGCACCTCTCTTGCCGTCGACTGGCCGACGAAGCCAGCGGCTTGCTTCTCTGCTGTGCCATCCTGCTTCAATCCCAATCCCTTGATGTGGGTGTGGGCAGCCGTGCGGTTCTCGCGACTGTTTCCCTTAACCTCGCTGATTTGGACCATCTTCGCGGCGGAAGCGTCGGTTTCCGGTGGTCAATTCGTGTGGTATCAACAATTCAATCGTGTACGGTAACGTCGATCGGAGTGTCGGCAAATATGTCGCGGTCGTGATGGTTCGTTGGCCTTGGGGGGTGGGTGGTTGGTGTCAGACAGAATTGGATGAAGCTCCAAAAGATTTTGGGGCGACGCGCCTCAGTCTATCCCTGCAAACTTCCAGGTGCACAGTGCAGGCGCCGACTTACACATTAGGAATCGGGTGCCCCACACGTGACCCGTGGATAGCTTCCCGTTTGCGCCTCATTCAACTTCATCCAGATCACTTCAGCTTGTTCTCACGCACTTAGTCAATATTCTGAAACTTCATGTTGATCTGATGCTTAATATTCCATGCAAAATTGTTTTATATTTTATGACAACGAAACGATTGATCAAAGGGCCGGCCACCGTACCAAATGCTGCATACAACTGGAGCACCAACACGCAATACTCGGACAGAAGCAGCTTCTTCTTATTTCGCCAAATACTCCAACCCTCAACAGCGTCTGGCACTTTGCAAATATCCTGTAGAAGGCAAAATATTTGACGTTGCACACCATGTCGCTCACAAAGCGAGGAAATTCTCATCGGACCATAATGTGCCATCGGAACCGTCAAACCCCATGTGCTCAAGTCAACTTGACTCAAATGCTAATTTCAATCACGGTTCTGCTCCCGCGTTCGGGAATGTTGAGACTGCTGTCTCACTGAGACCCTCTCCAACAGTGTAGCCCGTCTACAAACAGCGTCCCGCCGTGCTGGAATCCTGAAGTCACCCCTTGGATGCGTAGGCCGTCAGTGTCACACCCTTGGCTTGGAGACACGTTTCGGTGCCTTTTCTCGAAAGTCCCCTAAAGAATTCCCTGTGACGCAGTTCGTGAGGAACCAAGGTCTCAGTCGAGTGAAAGGCCCATCGACGATGCTCGGAGATGATCGCCGAAGTTCGGCTTCCCTGGCAGATGAATTGAGTTCTCTGTGGATGGGGCTGTATTGCCAACTCATGATGTCCTGAGATCTGCCTCCAGCAAGCTATGTTCTCAGGGCAGAGGGTCTACCCCTACGCCCGAGCTCATGCAGCAACCTGATTCCCGACCCCAGACTACAAGCAAAAATGTCCTTCGATAGGCTCTTTCGATCGTTTGCGTGGTGTGATAGGGTTGAGCAGATCGTTGTCCAACTTGGGCTGAGTCAGTACCTGTGTTCTCTCTCCGGGTCCAGAGCTTCGCTGCCTCATAGCTTGAAGTCTCCTGCTCCATCATTCATTCTATTGTCGGGGGAACTCGAATCTCTATGCCAATATGGGCAATCAGTATACACTGCATGTTGAGGACTCATATTCGGACAAGTATAAAGGTCTAATACCTTACTCCAAAAAGGATATCGGTACAATTTACCCAAGACGCATTTTTGTGGGCGTCTATCAAATGTCGCAGGCCACGAGCCTGGCCAATATATCTAATTCTCGAGTCCCTTTTCTTCATCTTGTTGGCTTATATCCAAACATCATACATCGTAAGCCGTCATACGTCATCACCTCACTCTCTGAAGCTCGAAATCTTCGTCCCTTCCACCATCCATATCAGCCAACATCGGCACAGCCTCCGTATCCCGCACATTGGCGACCTCCGCATCCGCCTCCCTCTTGGGCGCTGGCGCTCTCTTCGTCAGCACCACCCACAGCGCACTTCCGATGATCAGCCCGCAGCCCGCAAGGCTCATCCACCCCATGACGTTGCCAAAGATGAACCGGTCGAACCCTGCCGCGAAGAGCATATGCGTGTAAACCATGGCGTTCGCCCTATTCGACCGATCCGTGCCAAGCCCCGCCGTGAGGAGGAACTGCATCACGAACCCGAAAACTCCCAGTAGAACGAGGAAGAGCCACTGCCGTCCCGTCTGTGGTAGGCCCCATCGCAGGGCGGGTTGCCCGATCTCGAGCATGGGCGCGGTGGTGAGCACGACGGTGCAGACGATGGTGCACCACGTCGCAAAGTAGTTCACCGAGATCAGCGGGTGCGCCCTCTTCCCGATCCACCGGATCGTCGTGAATGCTCCGGCGGCGCCGAACACACCCACTATTGCAACCCCAATGGCCATTAGCCGCTCCGCCGTCGTAGCCTGGTGGTTCAGTCCCGGCAGCGTCGAAGTCAATGTCCCATTGTTCAGGCCCGGGGTTTCCGGCGCGGTGGCGGCGGCCGTGGACGTCGAGTCCCCGGAGAAGAGCGAGGCCGGGTGGGCGATGAGGACGACGCCGAAGAAGGCGATGACGGTGCCGATCTGCTCGTTTCTGGTAAACGGTTCGCGGAGGGCGAGATAGCACACGTAGCCGGCGACGCTGGGGGCCAGGAAGGTTATGACGGTGGCCTCGGCGAGGGGGAGATACATCATCGAGTACCACATGCCAAAGATGCCGAAGAAGCCCGTCACGCCTCTGGCAACGAGAAGCCATCTGATTTCCTTCTTTCCAAAGGGGAAGTCGGGCGTCTTCATGTAGTACATGTAGAGGCAGCAACAGACCATCGTGACGCTTTGCCGGGCGAAGAGCACCTGGAGTGGGTGCATTCCTTCGCCTTCGAGCTCGAGGAGCCTTGCTGTGAGATTCATCAGAGCACCGAATAGTTGTGATAATGCCACCAAGACGACGCCTTTGTTGGTCTGCCAGAACGCCGCCAGTTTCGTATTCTTTTGAGAACTCTGTAACACTGTTGGAGGGTACTCTGCCCCTGGTAACGGTGACGTCCTCCCATTCTGGAACGGGCTCGTAGAGAATCTGCGGAACGAGTCTGGATCTGGTAGGGCTGAGAGTCCCTTCCCATGGTCGTGTGGCCAGGACATCTTGCTGTCTATTGATAACCTCTGACTGGACTCATCAGTGTGTTCTGATTCTCCATCAGACCTCAACTTTGCCTTTGTGTTTCGAGGAACGAATAGGTTATCATGGTTCTGCTTCTGTTCGGACATGGCGGCTAGGTGAGGTCATGTCTATAGGTCCAAAGCCATGGAGAGTGAAGCAGTAGGGCTGGCGTACGTAAGTAGGCTATCTCTCCGGTGCCAGAAGTGATCTCGGCCAGCTCACTTGATATTAAAAACAGCGTGTGTAAGAATGAACTCTTCACTTGAACAGAGATAGACAGAGATTTTTGACCATGCAATGAAGCGGGGTGTAGTCACAGGGAAAGACAAAAGGTGCAGAAACCAAAAGGACTCCCCATCGTTCATCGGAAGTGGGGAGGCTGGAGTAAAGTAGTGTATGGGGCCCTGCTTGTCAGTTACTCAGTCAGTCACTCGGGATAGTTCCTCGCCAGGGCGGAGACGGGGGCGGAGGTGGGAGCGGAGGAGTATCGATGTGCAAAATGTGTTGGTTGATTGCGTGCGGCGGCGTGGGCACATGCTGCCATCACGTCTCCCACCCATGCATCCCGTCGTGCCCGCCTTCTCTTCGAGGGGTGTTAGTGGCAGATGCGTGAGAAGATGACCCCCTCTGAAATCCCTCCAAGTGTGTCAGTCAAGTCAGTGTTGGCGAATGCAGCAGTGCGGATTCGGTAGAGGAAGGAAAAGAGCTGTGGGTGGAGTGGGAATCCCCCAGCATCGAATGGTCATGACCCAACCCATTTGAGAAACGCCCAGAGGATTCGAGAGAAACTAACCAACCAACCCCCCGCTACCGCTAGCCCGGCGTCAACCCGCTGGCAAGGGCGCCCTTTTGCTCCGCTGATGCGCCGCCGACACCGAGAAAACAGAAACGGTATGATCATCGTTGGGTGTCACCTGTAGACTGATTGGGGAATTTCCTCCCCCCCGATATCGCAACCACACTTTGTTCCCAGGTTTTGCCAGAGAAGGAAGGCACTGAGAAATGCGTCGGATGTTGTTTGCCGGGGGACTCAACCAGCCCACTTTCTCGGCGCGGATCCACTCGCACAAACACCGACAGCGGCGGGCCCGGCACCGATTCGGAGCAAATGGGGTTGGATGACTCGGGCAGATGCCAGAAACACGGGTTTCTGGCTGCCTGTAAACTTTAAAGTTTAAGCCGTTTGAATGCATGTCGAAATATGCAAGCGGCTGAACCGTGATGATTTTCGTATCGACTTCCCAGTAATGTCTCTGCTAAGCTGTAGATCGAATGTCCATCAATACAGTTCCAAGAGGTGGTTTTATTCCACAAGACTTCGATGGCCTTAAACAAATGACTTTCTCTCAACTCGGCCACAGCGGTGAATAGTGTATGTTAATAGATGATCCTACATGGTCCGACTGAAAGCCCTTGATGCTTGATCATTAGACAAGATACCGGTCAACATGCATGGGTACCTGGCTCATATCTACCAGACTTCGGCTAGTCTCCGAAACTCAGGTGCTATGCCTAGGAGAATTCAACTGCCTTTCGTAGTAAGTCTTCCAAAAATTGATGAATGTCCATTCGACTATCGTGAATATTATGCTTTTTGACCCCTCCTAAGCCAGACCCCGTTAAAATGATGATATCAAAGCCAATACCCCAAGACTACCATCCAATAAACGCCTAATGCTATGCCTCATCCCAAAAAAAGAAGAGCCCAAAGGGCCGTACGTTCCACCCGTATTACCCGAGGTTGACTCACTTCCCGTCCCCGTCCAACCTGACCCTTTTCGACGGTCGTCCCGCGACCTCACTTTCGGCATCAGCGTCGTCGTCGGCCTCGCCCAGCTCCTCCTCTTGCTTCACCGCCGCGTCCGCCGCACTCGAAGCTTCGCCCGCACCGTTGGCAGCCTTATCCTTCTTGCCGTGCTCCTGGTCCGCGGCGTCCTTCATGAGCACCGCCTCGTCGTCCTTTGTGAAAATCTTCTTGGCTGACTCGATCTCGCCCTTCTTCTCAAAGACCTCCTGGACTTTTCCGAGAAAGGCGTCGTTCTTGCGGAACGCGAATTCAAAGTCCTCGTATTTGACCTTCTGCCTTCCCGCGTAGTTGGCTGCGCGCGTCGCCTCGAAGGCCATGCCTTGGATGAACTCGGTCACGATCTCGTCGAGCACGCGAATCGTTTCGGGGAGCGGGTTCCTTACGTCGCCGTGGGCGTATAGTAGTTGAGCCACTGCAGAGTGCGAGCTTGATTAGCCTGATGCCTCGGTGCATGGTGTCACTGGAGGCAGGAACATACGCTCGTTGTGGCTGAAGTTCATTTTGCCAACATTTTTGGCAGCGCGGGCGCGAGGCTCCATGATGGGCAGATAATTCCTGATTATCCGATCGGGATGGGCAAGATGTTTCTGATTTTCGATGTGTTCGCTCCGGTAGGATTCGCAAAGGCTCTTTCGTGATGCGCGCAGATTTGGTATTCGAATTACTAGGGTAGAGTCGTCGTGGAGAGGCTGAGAGTTAGGTACCTAGGCAGGTAGTTGCTTGGGATTGAGTGACAGACTTCACGGCACAGGAACAGAAGGCACCTCAGCTTGCAAGGGTTGCGATAAGATAAGGCATCTTCCTGAGCCTCAGGTTCTGGGCCTTGTCCAGCACCCCTGCTGACTGTGGGGGTGGCGCCTCACATCCAAACGTGGCTGATGCAGAGCTCCGAGCTCAGGCCACATGTGGCACAAACTCTCCGGGCCACCTTGTCCACTGAGGAGAGGCTGAAGACAACCGCACCCCTAGGCCACCTGTATCGCGACGATCAAGCTAGATTGTCCATCTACGCAGAATCCCCGTTCAAGCCGCCAACTCACCCTCCAAGAGGGACTAAACTTGCAAACATGGTAAGTCAAGCTCCGCGATCATGCTCAGTATACCATAGTCGTACTAACTCAGACATAGACCGCCCTATTCAACTTCCAGTCGCTCCTCCTCGTCATTCTCCTCCTCATCTGCACCTGCGCATACGCGCACCAGCTCATGCCCGCCATCATGGACCGGAACAAGGACGGGTAGGATCACCAATGGCACGCACACAAGCAGGAACACGTTCGCTAACATGTTCGGACAGTATCATGGGCATATTTTGGAAATTCGCAAGGGTAGGCGAACGTTTAAGTCCATACATCAGCTTATGCTGTGTCGTCATGGCGGCAAGTTTCTCCCTCTCCCGGCTTTTCTCCCCTGCAATTCTGACTGGGTTACGACAGGTCTCCATGCTCATCAACTAACCACTCAACCCCTCCTTGTATGATTGCGCGCGAGCGGAACCCCTCTAGATGGGGGCACGAAAAGACTTGTTATATGGTTTGGAGTTGGTCTGGGAAATGAAACATTGCTTTGTTAGATGGATGCCAGCGCCAGGCGCAAGAAAGAGGGTATGGCTACGGTCAATGAGGTCCGCATAACGATCTCAGTAGTATATGGGTACTGTCCGGCGACAGTAGAAATAATGCAAGAAATTCCGCCACCATCGACGGCAACTGCGGTTCTGACACTGGCAGTGCTCTAGACGTCATGTACATTTGTAGGCTGTGCCACGCATGACTATTCGAGTTCTGAAACCGACGGTTTGTCTCTGACTACAAGCCTCGAAGCAGCCCAGTGCCTTCTCGTACCGATTCAACGGTCCTTCGTCACCCAGTGGGTGACTTCTCTCGGTCCTGGCCTGGAAAACCGTCGAGGTTCGTAAGCTTTGCATCTGAGATGTAAGACTCTGTGGCAGCAACATACTATGATCCAAATGCCGGAGAAACGACCATCGACGAGCTCTTCGTCAACTACTCGTCGATACATGTTATTATTGAGGACATGGAGTCTATGAATAAGGAGCACTTGAATATGAAGTAATAAACCATACATCTTTGCAGCCAATCTGTACGAATTTCGATCTTAAAATGTTGTTCGTGTGATTCTGGGCACGTAGGTAGGCAGAAGAACTTATCCGTCGCGGTGTCTCCGTACGTGATTACCCTTTAGTAATTTCTAGCCTTATTTTGTCCAAGATATCGTCTCAAATTGAAGTCAGTTAAAATCATCTACCGTCGCATATTTGCCAAAGCGCCAGGTCTGCCTGAGAATCACTTTTCAATACTGAACCAGCCATGTCCGCGGTGTTAATACAGGTGTCTATCTTGTTCTGTCTGTCCTAATCTTTAGTATCCTTGTCTTTGAATCGCACGCGTCGCCTTCCACCTCACCTCATACTATTTTGATCGAACCTTGGTTGGACCAACCAGCTACCTCAAAGAAACAAATAGTCGAGCTGATGGGAGCACCATCAAAAATTGTCTCTCCAACGGACCAGAGCACCATGACCGTGACCAATGTCTTGCTATCGATACGACATTAACCTGCTGGCATCAGATCAGAAAGCAGTGCTGACGCAACCGATGTCATGAAGTAGAAAACTTTTTGGGTCACACGCAGACATCCATACTAGTGACGCAACTCTATACTTGTAAGAGAGTTCATCTGCATCTACAAGGAATAATAGCACAAAAAAGTACAAGGCAGGTTCCCTCTTCTCTGGAGGAAACTCAAGTCGCCAGCGCAGGAAACAGTGTCAGCTCCAGTACCCCACGCGCCAATACAGACTGCGTGAACGCTCGAGAGATAGCCAGAACAACTGGCCTATCAAAGTAATAGAAGAGTAGCCGACAAGAGAACCTGGGGAGAGGTCTCGAATTTAATATTTGGACTTCTTTTTTCTATGTTCAGTCCCTTCCAGCAAGGAGTAACTGGTTGAGAAAGAAACCGGAAACCGTCGATAGATAACTTGTATGTTTGCACGTGTTAGACGCCACACGCGCAATATCACGAGAAGTCCCCCCGAACCACATATCGCAGCTTTGATCAGTAGTTCCGATGTGACTGGGCTCGCCGTTGAAGGATCTCTGAGTGAACCAGCATTCCACGATAGCCGCCACATGGTGATTTCTGGAGGGTGACTCCCCAGCACTGCAGTAGGGTGAGACCGACTGGTCGGTTCTCTGGATGTTGGATGATAATGAACTGGTAAGTTGACTGCCACCCCTAGTAAGAACGACAGACAGCGCACCGCACTTTCTCGGATTTCTCTGCTTGGTTCTTTGATAATCACTACGATGTACCGCGATTGGAATGACAGGATCTGAATTATTCACTGATACGCATAAGATGAAAGTAGGACCAGCAGATATATAGATGATCAAAACTTCAGGATGAACTCTGTCGCCGCGTCTCGTGAATACAATAGAAAGAGAAAATAGCAAAAAATACGAGTGGGTGTGGTTGAGGTCGTTACTCATAGGCCGAACCGCTGTCCAGAACAAGTCCACAACCACAACTCTGTATGGCCTCCGGTAACGCAGAATGGTTGACCATTCCGGAGCTGGACAGAATAGTCGTCAATCGTGTGAGGGAAGGCTGTCGGGAAGTTTGAATGGTCAACGGCTCCTCGTATTACGACCGGGCTCCCTTGATGAAGTGCGAAGGTTCGCTTTTGCCTTTGCCTTTCACCGTGACCTCTCACCGTATTCTTTGCTTTCCAATGTGTAGACATTCAGCTAATTCCGTTTACTTCGACTGAGATTGTATCTGCTGAGGTCAGCTTCGATTCCCAAATAACGTATTTTATATGGGAAAGATACCTGTCAATCGTCATAGTCCTCTTTGAACCGTAGCTCATGGGTAATCCGTGGCGGATTTCTAACAAAGCCTTTTGAATGAGGACTTATCAACATGTGTGATTCAAGGAAGGGCAAACAGTGCCTATAGAAATAAAGCAACCAAATAATACAAATTGAGAAGATATCTATTCTTCCATGACCACCAAAGCCTGAAATGGAAAACATACTTACATTAGAGAATCAGCTGTTGCAACAGAGGTAGACTTACCAGCCAAACCCATCGTTGCAAACTCAACGTATAGCAACCACCGTGTGTACTCCATAACCACGTATGACCCAAAGCCTCAAACACCACCAATAAACCATCAAAAACTCCCAAAGGGAAAGGATACATACATACATGGGAGACACACACCCACGTCCCGGATCGATATGCGAGCAAACGATTGGCTATCACCCGACATCCGCATGTGATTGTGATTGTGGCTGCCTCAAGACCGTTCCAGCATTATTTTTCTTTTCTTCTTGTACAACAACAATGGCACTTGCTTGCTTTGTGCGGATGGAACTTTGCAGCGGACACAGCCGATAGACAAACAATACACAGTTTAGCATGTCAATCATAAAACACAATCGACGATAGAACGGGCAAAAGAGGTGGAGCAAATTATGAATGGCGAAATGTGACTCTTTGTTTTCTGTCTCAGCAATGCAAAAAGTGCGCTATGTATCTGGATGCGACCACCTCCCCAATGCAACGCCGAACCAAGTAATCCATTGCGGCAAGAGCGCTCGCGAGCTTGATGCTTTGATACCCCCAAACACCGTCTAAAAGGTTCCGTAACCCCCACCATAGCCAAATAGAATCTTATGAGAAATAGCCGCGATATCAAAATTAAAAACTGTAAAAAGGGGTATTGTTGTTCGGCCAGACATAATAGAGAAACCCTATGCTAAGGCCAGGGCGTGTCGGGTCGCTCGTCTTTCTTTTGAGACCAGCATCCCTTTTGATTAAATGAAGTTGTTTTTTTGGAGATGAAGGCCGAATGCCTCAGAACTGGTTCATTTCCATCAGGCTGTCGGCCTGCTCTTCTTCAGTGTATGCAAGGCCGGCGAAGACTCTCCAGTGGAGAATACCAAGGTGTGCCAGCCGAGTCGCCATGTCCTCGATTCCGCCGTCATCCCGGGTCTCACGGTTACCGTCGGAGACCGAGCCCTCACGGTCAGGACTGCCGATAGATCGTCCCGAGCCTTGGACACGGCCGCCAGTGGCCACGGTGAAGAGACCGACTCCAGTCAGCCCGCGGAACTCGCGCACTCGCTTCTGGAGCTCCATCAGAAGCCTGTGGTGAAAGTGCGCCTCAACCTCTTGAAACAAGGGGCTATTGATGTCGCAAACGTGGGAAGCGAGCTTCGACTCGAAGACTGGTAGCATGTCGGCGGGTGCGTTGGTGAATCGGAAGATTTGAAGGGCCAGTGAAGGAGCAATGGCTTCCCAGCGAGATTCGTGCCTACGTGGCGGCGGCGAGGTGTGAAGCAGCGCGACCAAAGAGTTGTAGACATCTCTAGCCTTGGCAAGAGATTCTGCGGGATCGGATGTAGGTTGAGGCGGTAGGATGAGAGAAGATCGTGGCGATGAAGTGGCAGAGTCGCCGGAGCTAAAGGCGAGACTCGACGGCCGCGAGGGCGGAGTGTTGAAGTTGAAGTCGGGAGTCATGGAAAGAGGGCGGCTGCGAGGCTCGTCGTCGAACTGCGAGAAGGAGCTGGCAAAGAGAGGGGCGTTCAATCGGCCAACTCTCTCGAGGTCGTCGTACATACGCATGCAGACCTCCAAGTTGATGGCGTCCAACATATCCGCCCGGAGCTTGCCGAATCTCTCTTCGTCAAAGATGAAGGTGTTGGGCAACGCCTTTTCGGATACCGAGGGCAAGACCAGGCGAGAGATGGCTTCGAAGAAGACAGACATCTCACCAAAGGAATGAGCTGCGATGGGAGACACAGAAGCAGCATATCTCTGCTCAGCATCCCTATACCAGGCATTTGCTTGAGTGACGTCCAGCTTGCTCCCCTGAATCTTTTTCTCGAAGAACTTGCGCTCAAATGGAATGGTTCCTTCGATAAGGATCGGGCGAAGGCAGCGAATCTGATGATTGGCAACGTCGAGCTTCATAGCCTCCAAAACACTGAGCAGACTCTTCATGCCCTTGACAAGCTCATCCACGTTGTTGGTCCGGTTTCCGTTGCTCAGCTGCGTGTACATCTGATCTACCCACTCGTCACGCATCGGAGCGCAGTGGGATTTCAGAACCCGAGATAGCCACAGAGCTAGCTTTTCCAAGTCTGCGATTCCCCTGTAGAACTGCTGCATCAGCAAATCGACGTTGAGGCCCTCATCCAAGTAAACTCTGTCTCTTTGGGGCACCAAGGTCTGAATGATTTCCTTGACCGCCTTTAACAAAGATGGCAAGCACCAGTCATCATCCTGACCGTGTGCAGAGAAAAAGGACTCCGGCTCGCTCACGAACTGAATGAGCTGCTCCTGAAGGGTGTTCCAGAAAAGGTCCGCCTTATGTTGTTTCCTCTTGCCCTTGTCGCCGTCCAGATTTGGGCGGAAGTGCAACTCCGGGTCAAAGTTGATATCATGACGCAACTTTGGGTTGTGCATTATTTTGCAAACGTCCAGCTCACTCAGGGTCACTTTGGTCACAGGGGGCTCAATCGGCCGGGAGATCCGGGGAGCAGAAGCCTTGACCTCCGGCACAGTTCCGAAGTAGCTGTCTGTAGGCGCATTTGGCGTAGATACAGTCGAACTGTTGGATGATGCTCTGGCCATGAGAGGTGCTGTTGTGGGTGTTGATGTGTTTGAGGGTGGGTTGAAGCCTCTGGGAGAGACTTGTGACGATTGCTTGAACTGGGGTTTCGCCTCCTCTTGTTGCGTCTGCTTTCCGGTCTGCGGCTCAGACTCCTGAATGGGCTCGTTCTCGCCGTTGCGGGTCGAAGTCGACATGTGGCGACGGTTGCTTTCTATGCCGCCACCGGCTCCCTGATCACCCGCCATTTTCGAGATTTTCGTTCTGTCGATTTGACGTACGTTATACGCTCTGCTCGACTGCCCTCTGGGTCGTCGGAAATCGCGCTTTCAGTTAATATTGGTCAGAAACCAAATCTAGATCCTCCAAGGTTACACGTTGAAAATCGATGTTGGAGCAAAATGCGAAGCCTAATAAACCGAAGTAGGTTGGGACGTTCTTGTGTGGCTGGTGTTCCTCGAGGAAGCAAGTTAGCAAGAGTATATCTAGTCGGAAGGCCGCAAACAAGCATCGGTAGTTTTGTGAGACGAAGAGGGTCTCGTGAGCGACACACACGCGGGCGAATGCAGGTGCTGGTTCCCGGAGTTATGTGTAATGGACTAGGGAGTTCCAAAGGGAGGGGGGAAAGGACGCCCGCGAGTTTGCAGCCATCTATGACCGGGTAAGCCAAGTAGGCTTGTTGTAACTTACCGAATGTGACAAAATACTGCAGCAGGAACAGTAGTAGCTGGGCGGGGGGCGGGATGCAGCAGGAGTTGCAGTCGTCGAGTACGAGAATCAGCGGTGGACGTATCGGCCGAGGGATGTTTGCTCAGGCAGAAGAGCGCAGCGCAGCAGGAAGGAGCGACTGGACCACAGAAGGAGTCCGTTGTGGGAGCGTGCTTGCTGCAGAGGCACGGCTGAGAAGCAAACAAGCGGCCAAGTCACTTCTTAAAATGTCGTTGGTTGGATCTGACGGGAACCCAGAGCCCGAGGATGCGGTCGAGTGGGTGTACAGTGTATATCGGCTGTTGGTCGGGTATTGTTGGCGAGGTAAGAAAGCCGCAGTAGTTGGAGGTTGTAAGAGTGAGGATTCGTGAGAGGAGGGAAAGGGTGAAAGTCTATTGGAGGGCGAGCGAGGGCGGCGAGGTTGTTGTTTAAGAAAGTAGGAGCAGTTGCAGGAAGCAGCAGCAGTGACGGAAATTGCTCAGGGGGTGTGGGATATCCAGAGGTAATGAGGGACTGGTCTGGAGTGAGTGTGTGAAAGAGCGCAAGAAGCAAGCCAGAGAGGATATCCGTCTGTTAATTACAAATTGGGGGAGGAAATTGCAAACGGAGAAGGAAGGAAGAAGAAGAAGAGAACGAGTACGTCTTTCAAATGGGCAGGGACGTGGGAGAGAGGCAAGAGAAATACGGTCGGTAAGTACGGTCAGGTCAGGCCCCAGCCCAGGTCAGGTCAGGTCAGGTCAGTGCAGTACGGAGTATGCGGCCGGGGAAGGGATGAGGAGGAAAAAAAAAGGAGTACGGCGAATGTGAGCGAGAGTAGTAAGAGAGCGCCAGGAGGACTGGAGCATGTTAAAGCCAAACAATAATATTAAGACGGTAAGGTATGGGAGGGTAGGAACAGATCAGGTACAGATACCGGGTCAGGGTACGTACATCCTACATAGTGTCGTAGTGCAGAGAGCATGTACCTGAACGTGGAAGAAGACGAGGCAAAAGGCGTGGCATGGAGGTAAGATGGGTACGGAGTACGGAGTACATGCATCCATTGTGTACTTTAGGTACGAAGTAGTGTATGTGTGAGAGAGCCGTAGCGTCCATCGAGGAGAAAGGGCCCAGGGAGGTCACTAGTCATCCGTGGACTGGTGGAGAGGTACTTTGGACTTGGCTTCCATATCCTGACCCTACATTACTCTACTGCATAGTAGCGTACAGAGGGTGTTGGCACACTAAACCGGACGGTGAAGGCTCCCCCTTTGCCTCCCAGTTTCTGTGAAGGGGCCACTTCAGAAAGGGGGGAGGGGATGGGCCTCGAGGTAAGTAGTGAGGCAGGGCAAGGTACTCCGTAGTCCGTACATCAGCTTCGTTGAGTCTCCATAAGTGACGGATGGTGGCCCCAGATCGGGGTACGTACCCTTCTCCGCCGCCGGGCCAGGAACTAGGACCCAAATATCCAAGGGGACTATGCGCTTGGATGGGTTGGGGGAACTTGGGTGAAATTGCTGGCAATGCATCCTCAATGCAGACTCACACCTCTCAGAGAGAGAAAGAAGTGCAGTGCCAGACCAGACCCTCCACACGTTCCCACGCTCCCACACTCCCACACGGCACACACTACACACCCGGAGCTTCATCTTTTTAGCGGCAGCACCCACTGTCCACTGGGCCATCCATTCTCTCGGCCCCCCCTTCCCCTCCCATTTTGGTTTTGTACTGTGCTGTCACTCCTCTACTGTTCCCTGCCCTGTATGCCTGATGATGAGTGTGTGTGTGCGGTGTTTGTGTGTGGAGGGAGAGTTCCAATGTGAGCACGAGGCCAGGACAGCAAGTAAGGTAGTCGGGCTCCATAACTTAGGTAGGAGCTGGGTGGATGGGCGTTCGCGGTCGAGCACTGATAGTGAAGGACGAGTTGAGGGTGTCGTCAAAGTCCGTCTCGTTGTGTAGGATATGCAAGGCCAGAAGTATCCCTTCCGTACTCACCCCATATGTCGAGTTCACAAAAGCAACTTTTCGGGTACATCCTTCATGTACGTGCCAGGCCATGTCATGCTTCCTCCCTTCCTCTTGTCCAGCTCTTCCCTCCCATCACATCTCGACTCGGCATCCCTTCCAGTTCCCGTCCGTGGTCTTTTGGCACTTTGCCCTTTTCTCTGTCAGGTACGGTACGCCTCATCAACGCCTCAAGCCGCAGAGTCCCTTCACTCCCCCTCCACTTCCAACCCGCTACTCGCTTCTAGTCAGCCTTAGCGCGTCATCGTGAAGAGGTCCCTTTGTGATGTCGTGTCGTCCCCCCCGTCGTCTCCGGGGCCTTGAGCAAGCCACGGCCACCGCCTATTGCCAACACCACCCAACCCGCCCACCGCCTATCGCCCGACCGCCGGCAGTAACAGCCATCGGCGGCATCGGGAGTGGCAGTGGCAGTCGCCGTAGCAGAGCACCAGCGGCCTGCAGTAGGACAGTGCAAATGAACACCTCCTCGTCAAGTAGTTCCTCGGGGTCTCACCGAGTGAGAAACTATACGTACTGCGTACATGCAAGCCGCATACTCATCTACTACGCCACGCCATATAGAGCGGGCCAGTACGTGTGTCAACCTCCGCTCCGGCCGATACGGATACATGGTCGTTGCCCCAGCAGAGTGGCACCGGAGGCGTAACAATACGGAGATCGGGATCCAGAGAGAAGGCGCCTCTCCTGTCGGCAGTATCGTAGGTAGTGAATGGAGGCATCGGGAACAGCAGTTGCTTTCGCTGGTGCCAACAACGTTGCTGCTGCGGCGGCAGGCCTCGTCATTTACCGTTGGCCATTCGGACACGGTAGTGCATCGTCAACCAACCCCCGTCAGGTGGACAGTGGACTGAGGGAACTCTGAGTCTGCTGCCACTCCCAAGTTACAGCCCACACACTGACGGATGGCTGCTACGACGAGATAACTATCCATGCTGCCATGCCCATGCCATGCCATGCCACGCTCATCGCGCGCTGGGGCGATTAGCACCAAGGCCATCCCTGCGCCGGGCCGGGGGGTGGACGAACAACTCGTTTGGTACTCGGGTCTCTTGGAGTCTTGGGTCTTTGGTGGTCCACTAGGGCCTGTCCCTACCGGCTGAAGAGAGTCAAAAGAACCACAACCCATGCGCCTGTCGGTGATCTCGAAGAACGGAACGTAAGATGGATACCTCGTGGAACATGCCAACCAGCCTCCCTTCCTTGCCTATCTTCGCCTGGCCTTGTTGACTTCCCCAGAATAGCTGTTTCGAATGAGAAAAGGGGAACAAGAGGTGGCGCTGGACGGGCCAGGCCGATTAAGCGTTGTAGGGACGACCACAATGTCCCCAAACACCAGACTCCTGTCCGAGAAGACGGCTTATCCAGTAATTTGAACGAATACTCTAGATATGCGGCCAGCAGGCGATTAGTTGCGAGGAGACTTGAAAGAACTTGGACGCATGGTCTTCGCGGGCGCTCCGCCATAAGACGGCAAAGGAGGGAGGGGCCGCGGCATCATTTCGAGAGACAACTTCGGGCCAGAACTTTTGACTCAACTGGCGAGACAGATGAGCGCGCTGCGAGACGAGGCAGCAAAGAAAGGTATGGTGAATGAGTCGTCAGGTGTGTGCGGCAAAAATTTTTGCTGTCAAAGGCAGAGTATCCGTAAGAGGCGGCGGCGGGCGGCGGCGGCGGCGAGTCAATGACCTTCGTATTGATCGACCAGCGGCACATTGTTCCAATTCCGGTAGCTGCAGTGTGGACGAAAGAACAGGCTCAAAACTGCAGCAGCAGGCGAGAATCTGCACCCACACGAGGTCATGGTGTACGCCGGACTGCTCGTGTGCCTCTCCATTCTGCCTCATGGCCGTGGAGGTCGCGGTACGCCGTCAAGGTGTTGCGAATAAGTGCAAGAGATGAAGGTAAAAAGCCGGCCGGTTGGGGGTGGGGGGTCAAAACACTCGAGATTGTGCGTCCGTTCGCTCGCAGGTCTGCCAGGAGTCCAAGACTGAAATTCCGGATGGATCGCACGACCATGCAAGGACGGTACGGTAGTATAGACTATAGAGGCTGGAGGACCATCAGTATCACACATGAGCAAAGCGCCCCTTTCTGCTAAGGATCCGTCATCCATCCATCCATTCGAAATGTGTGTCCAAGCGATGGTAATATATTTCTTGGCGTCCTGGGGGAACGTGTCGAACTCGAGGATATGATTATGAGGATCTGAGGATCACGAGTCCAAGACCAAGACCAGGACCAAGATCAAGTCTAGTGCAAGAGAAAGAGGGAACCAGCGGAAAAAGCAAATAGAAGAAGATCATCAGTGGTGCGCTAGGCGTGGGGTCCCTACTCCAACCAGGGGCAGGGGAGGCACGAGGGTAGGGTCTAGGGGAGGAAGGTACGGGAGTACGGACGGAGTACGGAGTACGGAGGACTGAGGGGCAGAAGAAACCATCGCAGGAATAATTGTGAAAAAAATGCCAGAGAAGGAAAAGATTCTGGAAAAAAAGAATAATACGGAGACCTAGGAATAAAAAAAGAAAGAGAGCCCAGTGCCAGGGCAAATGGGAACGGCAAGGGCCAGTTGAGACAACCCAGCAATCCGCGCCGTCGGTAATAGCCACTTTGATCCCACTATCCCGTATCGACGTACCTTACTGGGGATGAGGTACCGTTTGCTGGGTGTGCGTGGCAGTTGAGGAAGGTGCAGAGAAATGCTGATACTGGAGGTACTCCGGTACCTCTGGAGAGTACCGAGGCACTTTTTTGGCTTGCAAGGGGAAGGAGGAGGGAAGGGGATTGAGAGCGGGCGGCAGGGGGGATCCCTTGCAAGTTCCAGGTCCCAGGAGTCTTGGATTGGATTTCTCAAGAGGGCCATGTCCATCCCAGGTTCCCAACCCTCGTACCTGGGATTCTGGGAAAGAGGAGCAGCCTCAAAGACGACACGGCAGGAGGAGCCTTGTGGGACCTGCCAGGGTCAGCTTATTACCGGCCTTGCTGTCCTCGCGTACGCACACCTGATACCCTGCCTGAATCTCCCAGGTGGGTTCAAGGTGAGAGACTGAGACCGAGAGACTCGAGACTGTGTGTACGAGAAAAAGGGGACGGTGAAGTGAGGTGAGGTGAGCTCAGGGCACACCTACAATCATCCAAGTGATAGGTACGCAGTTGGTGGAATGTTGAGCTAACACAACCCAAGACAATCGAGACTCGAGACTCGACATACTCATGGCATATTTCACTCACGCCAGACTCCAACATGTGGAAGAGGCGGCTGACAACGTGCAATCAAGGGGACAGTGAATTAGGCCATCGCTAGCGTGAGGCGGGTAGAACGAATCCGAGATGACAGTTTGACAATTCTATATCACGGTCGCCTCGGACGCTCTGAACATAAAGCAAGCCGCCACCTCCAGATTAATACAACAAAAGACTATCCTTACTTGTTAATTGTTGTCCACGCAGCATGACAGGCTAACCAACAGAACCTCATCAGAAACCCATAGTAATGACGACAATTACGAAATCCTGCATGCTCGGCCGAAGCGTTGCATCGCGCCGCTGGGGCTCTGCAGTCACTATTTTGAATTAATTGGGTCGGGGATTAATCAGGGAGACAGAAACCATCTGCTAGAAACAAATCAATGCCTCTCATGTTGCAGTTCCTCCCTTCTCCACGGGCCATACGCAGTAGACTCGGTGGGAGGAGAAACCATGGCTCCGTACGGTACAAGGTATTGCGTACCTACTGGAGTGAAGATTAATATTCAATGGATGAATAATACAAAGGTGCATTGCCATTTCACATTTCATCCACAGGGCTTGACCAGGCAA